GTCTGGAATGAAGATATTTCTGTTCGTGATGGAAATATTCTATGTCATGAGAAGCCGTTTTTACATGGCAAAGAAATAAGAGGCATGAAACTTTTATTTCTGCAGCCATGCTAAAATGATCTGAATGTCCATAAAGATCAAGGCGTTTCATGACATTGTGAGTTCACGCAGCATTGCAATTTCTTTGAGCATTGATTCCAGTCGAAGGTCTGGCTCAATCAGTCAGACTGTTCAAATTTTCTTACCCACCCACCCACACCGGGGAGGACGTGGGTTCTCGAACGTCATGCGAACCTTCCTGCTTTAAGCAGTCGAAGTTGGAGCAAGCGTTGCTTGAATTGCGTGAACCATTCTTAATAGTTTGGAGTCCTACCCTCATGCGCTCATAGCGGAAAAATAGTCCGAAGATTAATGAATCTTGGATATTTCTGTTCGTGATGGAAATATTCTATGTCATGAAAGCCGTTTTTAGGAAAGAAATAAGAGGCATGAATTTTATTTCTGCAATGCTAAAATGATCTGAATCCATAAAGATCAAGGCGTTTCGTTGTGAGTTCACGCAGCATTGCAATTTCTTTGAGCATTGATTCCAGTCGAAGGTCTGGCTCATCAGAGACTGTTCAGGGGAGGACGTGGGTTCTCGAACGTCATGCGAACCTTCCTGCTTTAAGCAGTCGAAGTTGGAGCAAGCGTTGCTTGAATTGCGTGAACCATTCTTAATAGTTTGGAGTCCTACCCTCATGCGCTCATAGCGGAAAAATAGTCCGAAGATTAATGAATTTGGGATGAGGAACTTTAGGAGTCTGAATGAAGATATTTCTGTTCGTGATGGAAATATTCTATGTCATGAGAAGCCGTTTTTACATGGCAAAGAAATAAGAGGCATGAAACTTTTATTTCTGCAGCCATGCTAAAATGATCTGAATGTCCATAAAGATCAAGGCGTTTCATGACATTGTGAGTTCACGCAGCATTGCAATTTCTTTGAGCATTGATTCCAGTCGAAGGTCTGGCTCAATCAGTCAGACTGTTCAAATTTTCTTACCCACCCACCCACACCGGGGAGGACGTGGGTTCTCGAACGTCATGCGAACCTTCCTGCTTTAAGCAGTCGAAGTTGGAGCAAGCGTTGCTTGAATTGCGTGAACCATTCTTAATAGTTTGGAGTCCTACCCTCATGCGCTCATAGCGGAAAAATAGTCCGAAGATTAATGAATTTGGGATGAGGAACTTTAGGAGTCTGAATGAAGATATTTCTGTTCGTGATGGAAATATTCTATGTCATGAGAAGCCGTTTTTACATGGCAAAGAAATAAGAGGCATGAAACTTTTATTTCTGCAGCCATGCTAAAATGATCTGAATGTCCATAAAGATCAAGGCGTTTCATGACATTGTGAGTTCACGCAGCATTGCAATTTCTTTGAGCATTGATTCCAGTCGAAGGTCTGGCTCAATCAGTCAGACTGTTCAAATTTTCTTACCCACCCACCCACACCGGGGAGGACGTGGGTTCTCGAACGTCATGCGAACCTTCCTGCTTTAAGCAGTCGAAGTTGGAGCAGGCGTTGCTTAAATTGCGTGATCCATTCTTAATAGTTTGGAGTCCTACCCCCATGCGCTCATAGCGGAAAAACAGTCCGAAGATGAAAGAATTTGGGATGAAGAATTTTTGGAGTCTGAATGAAGATATTTCTGTTCGTGATGGACATACTCTATGTCATGGGAAGCCGTTTTTACATTGCAAATAAATAAATACATACAAATATAAATATAAATATAAATAAAAAAATAAATATACATATGTATATATATATATGTCTACAGACATTTTCTTGGGCAGAGTACTTGGCGCTCGCAAGAGCAAGCAGTGAAACACTGGTAATGCAAAAAACGGGCAACCTTGTTCAACTGAAGTTTTTGCAGGCAGAAGGGCTGAAGAGGCATCACGAACAGACAACCAACAGGCAGAGCCAAGCATTGCAGCTTCCTTGGTTCTGGATACAGGCAGCAGTATGTGACAGCAAAGTCGCAGTACACCCAGTAGCTACCCAGGACAACACACCAGACACACGAACGAAACCCTTTTCCGCAAAGAGGGTCGGTGTTTTATCAGTTTGTTGAGAATGAAGAGTAGTAGGAAGGGCCACAAACAGTCAAAAGACTGCAGAAAGTTTCCACGAACAATACGCTGCAAGAATGGTCACTACTGAAGGAGCAGCTCAAAAAAAAAGGTGCCGAGACATGAAAAGGTGACTTGGTTAGGAGTTGCAAAATTCTTTTGCAAAATTTCAAGAATGAGAGGTTCTGAAAAGGAAGGAAGGGAAGGAAGGAAAACGAAAAACGGATCAAGCAGTTTCAGCTTCTACGTGCACCGTCCCCATGCCATTGCACATGTGTTACATTATGCAAACTTCAAGCTCAAGATTCTGATGTACTCGACTTCTTCAAGTGCTTGGAGGGGAAAAACGCTGCGAGGTCGGAAACGTGCAGGCTACATCTGGCGTGGCAAGGGGCGGGTGAAGGGACCTGCTCCTTGAGCTGAGGATGATATGCTCTGTTCGGATTCGGGATTAAGGGGTTTGATTAAATAATGGGATGGTTTAGGAAAGTTTCCGTTTCAAGGTATAAACTTAGAGATGTCGATGAGGCTTGTTTCGAGCGTGCAATGAACTTGAAGATGTCCCCATCTCAGCACGGGACTCCCTTGCTGTTGATACCCCAAATTGTAACTTCCCCCCAAGTTGGAAACCAAAAACGAACAATGTGTACACGTCCCTTTGCCACCGGCACTTTTGTATTCTCGACAAGACTCACACCACTGCAGTATTGTTTGTTCTTTTGGTTCAAAACGCAGTGCCACGCCTGCCTTCTTCCCCCTTTGTTCTTCAGCAACTTTGGCTGCTGGCGCTTGCAATGGCCCGCTTCGGCAGCCGCCTCCTTACGTATACTGCAGGGTGTTCGAGAGTTGTTCGTGCTGCAGCCACAGTTGGGCAATGGGATATAACAGGTGCTTGATAAACAAGGTTATCCGAAGGTCGTTAAACCATCTAAACCTCAAGAAAACTCACGTGCTGCCGTGCGGGAGGCTTTGAACCAGATTGTCGTTCCAACGTTGGCAAGTCACAAAGTCGTACGTGCAGGTGGCGCAACGTATTGTGTGCCTGGAACGTCGTTTGGTGCCAGCCTTACTTGCGATCATGAATCAGCATGAATTTGAAGTCATGAATGAACTTTGGGCCTGCTACGTACCATTGCCCAGTGCACGGTAAGGGCGCAGCTTCGCTTTGGTTGATGCACTGTTCGAGAAAGCTTCGTCAAACGTTGTAGTGTGCGATGTGACACCGAGGACCTTGCAACATATACTTGCTGCAGCTCTTCTTGTCAAGGTCTTGAGCTTGCAGGCCAATTTCGGGAAAGCCTCGAAACAGTCAGTCCCAAAACATTCTCCACGCCCTCCACGCCCAGAAGCCGTGAATTCAGAGTGTTGCTTGAGCAGCTTTTGTGGATTGAGCTAGGTTAGCCGAGAAGTGAGGGGCATGTCCTGAAGCGTGGACCTTTCAACAGGAGCCCCAAAAACACATTGGAGCTGAAACTTTCTTCACACCTGGAGCCTGAAACCCTCCGAGTCCCTTGCAACAGTGGGAGGTTGATTCGTGCCGCGGCCTCTCCTGACCAGGCCATGGCTTCGGGAGGTTTTGCTTTGGGCTGAATAGGGAAGGGGGGGGGGGTTTTAGCAGTTTAGGATAGTTTAGGGGTTTATAATAGCACTGACAGAGGACGTGTATGATATAGGCGTGCTTCTTTTTTCGCGTCTGGGCGTATCAGGCTTGCCAAGTTCCAGGCTTCCAGGATCTCTCGGGCACCCAATAAGACAGCTATAGCTCCATCACGAAGGGGTTTAGGGCAGTTTAGGGTTTAGGGCCGGAGTTCCCCACAGTTCACCCAAAGAACCACTCCTGGTGGGAGTCCGCACTTTAAGCTCGTTGGGGTTTAGAGCACACCCGAAACCATGCCAAGCCATCCGGACCCTTCTGCACCCTAGAGTCCTAGAGAACCCACAAAGCACTCAGAATCCCGAAGGTTGTCCGGTCATCGGCTGGTCGCGGCCCGCAGGGGTCAGGCTGGTCGGCCGGAGGAAAGGCGGCTCGTTCGCTGCCAGCCTTCCTCGGACATGGCGGCATGGCGCCAGGCTCTTCCCGACCTTCTCGGGGTGGTGCATGCCTTGGAAGGCACGGTTGCAGACCGCACTCGCACCAGACAGAGGGAAGCTTCCGTGCGGGTCTTGAGATAGCCGAGCCATCACCATCCCCAGAGGCCGGACTCCGCTAGCGGCCTCTAGCGGCCCTTGTTTCGGATGGCCCATGAAGCCCTCAGGTGACAGAGCTTCGGTTGCTTGGGCTCTTGCTGCCTTGGGCTCGGCTCAGGGCTTTCTTGAAACACTTTGTGCACCAGGCCGCCAGCTTGCCTTGACCCTCTCTTGAAGTCGCCACTCCTCGCATTTTCCCGCCATGTCTTGGCTGCCCCGAAAACGTTTCCAGCCATTGCTGAAAGGCGGAGTCCTTCGCTTTGATACCTTGTCTGCGCTCCAGGAGCTGTTAAGGGACACGGCTGAAGAATGTGGCGCCTTCCACCAAGGCTTCAAGAAAGACTCCTCCGAGGGAGACCCGCTTTGCAACTGGCATCGCCTGTGCTGGAGATGTCGCGTGTTGGATGGCCAGTGAAGTCCTCGTGTGACTGCTTCGGTTGCTTCGGCACTTGGGCTTTGGGCACTCGGCGTGCTTCGCGTGCTTGCACCTTGCCGCCCTTGGTTCGGGTCAGGCGTTTCTTGCAGCACTGTGCACGAGGCCGCCAGCTTGCCTTGACCCTCTCCTGAAGTCGCCACTCCTTGCATTTTCCCGCAATGTCTTGGCTCGCCCGGAAATGTTTCCAGGCACTACTGAAAGGCGGAGTCCTTCGCCTTTTCTGTGCTGATTGAGCTGTTAAGGGACACGGGTGAAGAATGCGTCGAATGACACCGAAGCTTCAAGTAGGACCCTTGCCAGCCGAACTCCCGCGCAAGACCCGCTTTGCAATTGTCATTTGTGACCTCCTTGCCTGTGCTGGCGATGTCAGTCTGCTGGGCCTCCAGCCGCCTCCGTGTTGGATGAGCCGTGAAGTCCTCACGAGACTACTCTCGGTTGCTTCGACACCTGGGCTTTGGGCACGCGGCGTGCTTGGCTCGGGTCAGGCGTTTCTTGAAGCACTGTGCACGAGGCCGCAAGCTTGCCTTGACCCTCTCCTGAAGTCGCCACTCCTCGCATTTTCCCGCAATGTCTTGGCTCGCCCGGAAATGTTTCCAGGCACTGCTGAAAGGTGCAGTCCTTGGCTGTGATGCAGGAGCTGATGGCTGAAGAATGCAGCATCTTCCACCTCAGCTTCAAATAAGACCCCTCCGAGGGAGACCTGCTTTGCAACTGGCATCTGCGACCTCCTTGCCTGTGCTGGAGATGTCGCGTGTTGGATGGCCAGTGAAGTGCTCACGCAACAGTGCTTCGGTTGCTTCAGCACCTGGACTCTGGGCACTCGGCGTGCTTCGCGTGCTTGCACCTTGCCGCCCTTGGCTCGGGTCAGGCGCTTCTTGAAGCACTGTGCACGAGGCCGCCAGCTTGCCTTGACCCTCTCCTGAAGTCGCCATTCCTTGCATTTTTTGCAATGTCTTGGGTCGCCCGGAAGTGTTTCCGGCCACTGCTGAAACGCGGAGTCCTTTGATGCCTTCTCTGTGCTCCAGAAGCTGTTACGGGACGCGGCTGAAGAATGCGGCGCCTTCTACCTTCCACCTCAGCTGCAAGTAATTTCCCTCCGAGTCAGACCTGCTTGGCAAGGCGACAGTGCTTCGGCTTCGGCACCTGAGCCCTGGGCACTCGGCCTGCTTCGCGTGCTTCACGTCCTACACCTTGCCGCCCCTGGCTCGGGTCAGGCGTTTCTTGAAGCACTGTGCACGAGGCCGCCAGCTTGCCTTGACCCTCTCCTGAAGTCGCCACTCCTCGCATTTTCCCGCAATGTCTTGGCTGTCCCGAAAACGTTTCCAGCCACTGCTGAAAGGCGGAGTCCTTCGCTTTGATACCTGTGCTGCAGGAGCTGTTGAGGGACACGGCTGAAGAAGGCGGCTCCTTCCACCTTGCACTTCAACTTCAACCAAGACCCCTGCCAGCCGAACTCCGGAGGGAGACTTGCCTTGCCACTGGCGATGATTGCGTGGCATCTGCAACTTCGTTGCACGTGCTGGATTCGCCTTGGCTTTGGGTGGAGGAGCAGTAAACCGGCAGGAGGGGAATCGCGATAGTAAGGCTGATGGCTGTGATCATTTTGGCCCCCAAGGGCCCCTTCTGCAATAAAGATGTTAGGTAGTCTCCCGTCAAATCAGTGCAGTGCGTAGGTAGTCTAGTGCCTGAAGTTTTTGTGCGCGGCAACCTGCTTGTGCCCGCGCATGGCATGACCAACAAAATTTTGCCTCCGAAGACATATTCTAGCATATCCGCAAAGTGCATGTACGGTTGCCTGGTGGTGTTGCATAGAATGCCAAGGTTCCATAATGTGAAAGATACAGCATGATTGCTGTTCCGCGCCTCTTGACAAAGCCAAACATGTGCCGTGAGTTAGCCTTATCATGGATCTCTTGGAGGCAAAGTGCGAATTTTGCCCCCCTATGAAGATGTTAGGGGCTGGTAGCCTCCTGTCAAACCATTACAATGGTGATTTTTTGGAGCGCAGCAACTCGCCTGTGCCTGTGGATGGCCTGACCAGCAAGATCTTGCCTCGCAAGACGTAAGCATAACAGCAAAGTGCATGTACGGTTGCCTGGCGGTGCTGCATAGTATTCCAAGGTCCCATAATACGAAGGATACAGCGTGATTGCTTCTTCGCGGCTCCTGACAAAGCAACACATGTGCTGTGTGAGTTAGCCTTATCGTGGATCTTTTGCTTGCCAAGTGCGTATATCGCCCCACCATGAAGATGTTAGGGGCTCGCAGTCCCCTGTCAAATCATTGCAATGTTGACATGTTGGAACCCAGCAACTTGCCTGTGCCTGTGCATGGCCTGACCAGCAAGATCTTGCCTCACAAGATGTAAGCATAACAGCAAAGTGCATGTACGGTTGCCGGGCGGTGCTGCATATCATTCCAAGTTTTCATAATACGAAGGATACACCATGATTGCTGTTCCGCGGCTCCTGACAAAGCAAAACATAAGTTGTAGCGGTTGGCGTGACTTAGCTTTGGTGCGGATCTTGTGCTGGCAAGGCGTCAAGGGGCATGGTTCAACTGTTCTTGCATGCTCCGTATCGCACCGATCCCATACGTCTTGTACGCATCGGTGAGGAGCCAGGCTTGCCGAAGCCAGTTTTCAGACAGACGCCAGGCAGAATCATGCCATCGACAGTTTTGGCTGGCCTGGTTGCTGTGGATGTCAGGCGAAGATGTTTTCGAGAATCCCATGCCAGCTCGCTCGCTTGTGCCCTGCCGAAGACTGAGTGGAAGAGGTACCGCTGCCTTCCTCCGCCCACACACCCTGCGCTGACATTCATGCGCCACGAGCAGGGTGCACGTTGCCAGGCTTGACTCGCAGCAAAGAGTGTCAAACCGAAAGTACAGGACGCATGTGCGGCAGCATCAGCAGGATGGTAGTCATGGACTCCAGCACGGCAAACTAGCCGGCTTGGCTTGGGAGTAGATGCGCCCTGCGTCAGCAAAGGTCCATCGATTCGAGGCTCACAAAAAAGACCGTGTTGGACCCTGAAGCTGCCGAAGTCTGTGGACTGCCTGTCGGACCCCCTTTGGGAGTAAGGCTTTAAGTCTTTAAGCACGAAGCTTCGAAACTCGAAGCCACGTAGTCCGTGAAGCCCAAAGAGGCCCAAATCAGTTCGAGTTCGCTGGCGTTGGTGTGACAGAGCTTCGGCTTCCTGAGGAGCCTTAGGTGATCAGCCACTCTGTCGTGGCGTGGCTGCCGCACCTTTTCTTAGTTGGGTGTCGAGAAGTGGCCCGCCTCTAAGAGTCGTTGCTCTGAAGAACCAGATCTGTGGAAGAGCCAGTTTAGGCCACCGAGTCTTCGGGAATGCGGTGTTGAATGCTGGGTTAGCTAGCTTGCGGTTACCCAGGGAAGGGTGTAGCCTGTGTGGCCTGTGCTGTGTGGTATCTGGCTGCCTCTGGCTGAGCCTCCCTGCGCTGCGCGCACACGCCTGGTGTGCAGCCGGAAAGGATGAGGGGCTACCAGCCTCAGTGCCTTCAGAAGGCTTGGTCCTAGATTTGCCAATCCCCAAAACAAGAAAGTGTGGGATTGCCTGCTAAACAGGACTGTCAAGTAGCCTGTGGCAGGGGTTGAGCCGGACGCGAGCCCTTCCCCCTGATACTGGAGTGCAGGGATTGCTGGTTGGACTTCTGGTTGACGTGTCTTTTCTTGCAACTTCCTGACTTCGAATCCCTTTTACAGCCGCTGGCCTCTACTTCCCAAGACCTGAACACCCCAAGCTCCCCCAAGAGAAGGCCGCTGCCGGGTTTCGGCGCTTAGGTGGCTGCTCTGCCTTCCTGCGCCCCTTTTTTCCTTAGCAGGCAGGCTCTGCTAGAGCGAAGAACAGGGGCAAGGACGGAAGAGCTCTTTCTTTGGGGAGCTTTCTTCGGCAAGGTCGTTCCGGTGCTAGCAAAGCGGCAGCTGTGGATGGCTGTGCATCCTGCTGGGTCATGTGACAGCACTTTATGCACTTGGACTCATGCGATGAAATGTGAAGGAAACTTGCTTCTGGCGAGGGACCTTGTCCAGTCCGGGTCGTAACAAGCAGCAGCGAGTAGGTTTGCGGTCATTGGCCTCGCAGAATTTTGCCCAGACTACATCTCGCAGGAATGCAGCACGTTGCCAGCGGCACATGTAGCACACGTGGCAGTATGTGGCCGCGCGTGGACTGCAGCCCCTGCGATTGTTGCTTGAAAAGCCTGATGCCAAGCGGCCATGGTTTGAGACTGCCCTGCTGAAGTTTCAGCAATTCGGCACTTCGCTGCACTCGGAGTCGTCAAGAGCCCAAGCCCGTGAGTTTTGCAAGTCAAGGGCATCGGCTCCGATAGCCCCACGCTGATTTCAGGCCTGCTCGCGTGATCCTCCTCCGGCACGAATGCCCAGAGCGTCTCAGAGCGCTGTTCCTACGGCCATCACTGCCGCCGTCACTGCCGCCATCACTACTGGCACCACCGCCGCTACTGCCACTACCGCCATCGCTGCCATAGCTGCGGCGAGGCTCGAGCTGTTGGGTGTGTTGGGCGTGCCACAGGGAAGGCTGGTTAGCACTGCGGCCGGAGCCCGCGCTGGTGATGCAGATGTTTCGGGGCGGTGGAGCTGGCTGTTGTGCTGTGTTCGTCTGGTGGCTCCATGCTAGCACGTGGCTCCCACGTTGCTTGAGCCTGCTGCAGCACTGCGGGCAGCCCGCAAATGCTTGCTTGGCTCTGAAGGCGGGTCACCTGCCAAGTTCAGTGTGAGCTCAAGGCCTCCATGCACTCCATCTGCTTCGCTCTTTCTCAAAGCACGCCGCTGTCCGCTGATGCCTTCAGACTTCCGGCTCGTCGCACTAGCCGCAGATGGTGGATGGGTGTCAAGCCAGAGCCTGACCTCGCAAGTCGTCGATTGCCAGGGGCCGGGTTGAAGAGTTTTCTCTCGGGGTCGAAACTCATGAAACTCTGTCAGGTTGGTCGAGGATCTGCTGCAGAGTGCCAGGTGAAGGCGTGGTGATGGCAAGCGACCCTCGAACTTGGGTCTCGCACCGGGCATTGGCCTACGACAAGGAATGAACTCAACTGCTGGACATGAGAGGCACCTGGCCACGGCTAGGTTCACAATCATTCGTGACACGGTGCGAAAGAGGCTTTTCCCAACTTACATCGGCCCTGTGTGTGATCGCTAGACAATGGCTTGATGACTACCCCCAGGAAAGCAACGCACCCACCACATCTCAGCAGCTGTACATCTTCCGTTCGGGGAGCGGGGCTGGGTGAACAGATGACCCGGTGCCCTGGATGTGAGTAAGGGCTTCGGCCCTGTGCTAAGCACGTTCCGCCTTGTCCTGACCCAGCGCTCCTGTGAGATTGTGACGCGAAGCGGGTGTTCTGCAATCTGTGACGTTAATGTTTGGGCTCCTCGCCCCACGTCTTGCCCCGCGTCTTCGCGGCCTTGAGCCTGTTTTGTTGGCGCATTTGGCACTGCTACCATGCCATGCTCCGGGCAGCCGGAGCATGTACCGGCCAGATATTGGAGGGGGAGATCGCCACAAAAGGCCCCGAGAATGAGCAAGGGCGAACTTATCCCCACCGCCACGTGGGGCGAACTTATCCCTACCGCCACAAGGGGCGAACT